GAAGACCAACCAAGTTTAACTTCATAGGGAAGCTCTGGAAGTGGAAACTTTTACGAACCTCAGCAGTATCACTGATAAGCAAGTGGGATGTGATGCAGGCGTTGAGGAACGGATTGGCAAAGCAAGACCAACATTCATAAGATTGAAGGACATCTGGAACTCAAAAAACTGTCAGAATTTTCAATACGAAAATCAAGACAGTACTATTGTACGGAGCTGAAATTTTGAGAACTACTATAACCATCATCAAAAAGGTACATATATTTATAAACAGTTGTCTGCGCAAGACACTCTTGATCAGTTGACGAAAAGTCGTGATATACTTCATGATGTACTCACGTTTCAAAAATAAATCTATGACCATGTCTTATGTTGATGAATTTCCGAAATTGATAGAATCCCATAGATCTGTACAAGTGCACACTACTGTTAATCCTCGTATTGCATAAAAAAAATCTACAGCCTCTTTATTCAGAAATGCTTTACTCTAACGTCAAAATGTACACAGACAATGAGGTTTAAGCCTTGAAGTTTGTCGATATGTAGTGATTCTCTCGAAAATGTGACATCTATGTGGTAAAAACTGCACAAAACCTTGCTTATTACCAGAAGACGGCAAAAGTATACTCAAAGTCGTCGCAGATCCCTGAAACAACATAGAGTACAACGAAACAAATCAAGAATGCTAGGCAGCAACAATTTAAGCCATGGTTGACAAAACATACTCTGGATTTACAAGGACTAAATCAACTCACGATAAAATTGAAAATTATTTTCATTTTGAGAGCATATCAAATGTCTAGAATATTTTCAACCAAAATTGTAGACTGTTGACTTGCCGAATTTCGGAAAGGTGCGACCTTTTAAGATACTCTGAAATATTTGCGTTTTGCATTTGAAAGAATTACTCGCTACTTTAATCCCAAAATTCAGATGCCGTCTCTCAAATAAAAGTTATAATGCGTTAAGTATTTATTCATGTAAATGGACGGTAAGACCCCTAGAATATGTGCTGACAATAGATTAACGATTAACTCACAGTTGTTGGAGCAAAAGTAGACGACGTATTGGTTTGTTCCTGCTTTTGATTGTGTTGCCTGTGTTGACTGGAATTGTGCGTTTTTGGTTGTGAATTGAGGCACTCTTCCAGAATTGGAAGCATTATGTATTATAAAGCGAACAAATTTTATCTTTTGAACGAATCTGTTTATGGGTTTGTCCAGACAGGATAGAATAACATTTATTTGTTGTGATTGGTAATTTTTTGCATCCTTTATCAATTTCCTTATTTATTGTAATTCCGATTTGATTAATCGAACAATTATTGGTTGGATAGCTGAGTGGTCACATTTTCTTAGGTAACAATGTACATGTAAATTTATGATGAATTATAGAACCGTCATTTTACCCAATTACTTTGTTTTGGTTTCAAACGGGCAAGAGCGCGTATCTAACCTACCTAGTCAGCTATCCTTTAGTCCAAACCTTAGTTTGGACCTTACACATATTACCTTAACGAATCTTACCACCTAGTAACTTACCAATTTATTGTCAAACAGACTCAGAGTAGAATTACACTAGGTAGATACAAGAAACTTACCGGCTGCAGAAATCAAACTTTTCTATTAGTGTAGGATTAGTGATCTGTCATCTCAGGACAGACAATATAAAGTTTGTTCACAAAGTAGTATTTAACTTTATTAAAAATATCAACAAGAGTAATAAAAACCACAAGCTTTATTACGATAATGAGGTTTTGAGTTCTAAAATTATGCTTTGATTCACAATAAAAAACCTACGACTCCAGTCAGTCTAAAGAACACATTAAAAGGGAGTGGGAATGAATAAATACGGCAGCCGACGTAACCTAACATTACTACAATTGATGAGCATCATCGAAACTCCAATTGAGAAAATCGGGAATTAGGACAAAATATATCGTAACTATATCATCTAGATTCATAAGTTCAATAAAATCTGCAGCAAAAGGAGTCACGAAGAATAATTTCAAATTTAACAGGACGACAACGCGTTACATCATAAAAGTGTGCACATGGAGAGTTTTACACACACATTCACAAGAAGACGAGTATTCAGAAAGAGACCCTAATGATGTTGACTTTCCTACGATATACATGAAAAACGCAAGCCACACGATGGCTTTACTTCACCTGATAATCAACAATCACGGCGAAACTTCAGTGGTATCTGACAAACAAATTAAAATAACGCGTCTTGGAAGAATGGCAAAGCTGTAGAATTGTGGTCTACTTCGTTATTATTACTGCCCTAATAATATACTTAATCCTAAAATTGTTGATTTGTCATGATGTAACTGCCTAATCTATAAGATCTTAAGTGGAAATCACATCATTGTCTACAACAACTCATCGCGTTGCAACAATCACAGATATATGGCGGAGAACAAACTTAAGGTAGAGGAAATACAATACATTTAATATGAATAAAAGATGTAAGAAAACACTCAAGAGTGATCATTCCTGCAAGGCCGACTCATGTCATCCGATTAATTCCAAATCATTCAATTCAATATTATCACATTCTCCATCGCTGAGTTTCTCTCCGCGTTAAATGTTGAATGTCTATTTCCCCAGATGTCTCGTGTCCAGCTTCAAGGATTGTATGATTAGGGCCAAATGCCAGAAAACCTAAAGGATTACTGCACGTAAGACACTACATGACACTGTTTCGTTTCGATTTGTTTGTGTTATTATGTCCAGACGAACAAAAACAAAACATTTTTAATATGCTAATAATTTTAATGTTTTCATATGGAAAAGAAACTAAACTTTTTATTGATATTATGTTTGTTTACATGTGTGTATTTTTATTTTCTCACAAAATTAAGTCATTTTGAGATCTTTTCCACGCTATTGCATGTAATCAGAACGCATGTATCTAAGTTTGTTTTCCTTTCTTCGCCTATTTTGTGTATTTTTATGCACGTACGAGTGTATTTCGAAATGCATTTATAAGTCCTTTATTTCCCCCTTATGATGGCTGGAAAAAAGCCGATGAAGCTCGCGATGAATAGAATTTTTTATTGCACCAGTTTTTTAATAGATTATTCTGCAACATGGCCCCTTAGAATAAAGAAAGTCAAACAGGCGCTGGTGAACATGTCAAGCTATCAGAAGATTGTTTACCAACGACAAAACCGTTGAGTTTCAACTTCTGACTGGCCAGGTCCTAGGGTTAGAACTACCCGACTAGCGAGTTGAATGATCTGTAGTCGTAAATAAATCTCCTAAACCAATAGCTCTGTAAATTTTCGACATTTGATGCTGACCGCATTAGTTTCACTGATCTCACCTAAGTAAAGACGCCCGGTTGCGCACATGTACCAGATCACGATTCGGTACGCTGTGCTCCACATCTCCTACGACCACTAGCCATCGTAGATTAATCACTTTCCGACATCTCGAGAGCATGTCAAATATATCTTTGAACGTCGTTGCTTCTGGCTTCTGATTTCACTGGGCTGGCATGTTTCGACTATATAAGGCGTTACTGGTTGAGGTGTTGTCAAATTCCGAATACTTGTGTCATCTTCAAACCAATGAGGTCAGCACCATTGTAGAAGGCTAGCAAAGTCATGTATATCGAAGGTTTCTTTCCAGTGTATGCTTCATTATTGCATACTCGCAGCCAACCCTAGATCGAAAATCAAGGCTTGCGGTTGACAGAGGTCAAAAGAAACCCAACCTGGTTAACCCTCCTAATCGTAGTGCTTCTATTTGAGGTGGGTTTGTTTAAACTAATCCACACGTTTTAAAAAGGACCAGAGAAGACTTTCTTTTTGTCTTCAAATCAATTACGTGGTAAATGTTTGGGATCTAATATTCCATCGCCTTTCTTTTCCCCTATGACAGAAGGTTTACATTTCGTAAAAGTTCGCAAGCGCAGAATCAATTGCATGTTAGCTGACCGTTGAATTATACGTACATGGAGCCCTCTACCTCATCACGTGGTTCAATTTCCATCTATCGATATGCACAAAAGTTGTAAAAACTGAAAGACTTCATCCACCAGGACTAATACAGGGAACCTAGCCTCTCGTCTCTCTTAATCTTAATCCACCGTTTGAAAAGTCCCATATGGAAAACTGGTCACATTGAAACTCAAATTATTCTAGTAGCATAAAATGCCAGCGAAAATATACAGGACAAAGCACACATCCTATCATGCCTAAAAAGGTGACAGAAGTAATAAATTCCGCTTCACTGTGATTGGTTGATAGGTCGTGTTGAGACCATTAAACTAATAGTTGAAAATAATCCATTACTTTATTGCAAACTGGAAGCTCAATAAGATGTATTTTGCGGTATACATTTAGCAATACTGTGAACGTTGAAAGTTGACTTTAGAGCTAGGAAATTATTTCATAGTTTTCTTTGCAATGCCTTCGCCATAAGAACAGTTTACTGAGCGGGCCAATCGAGTACACGAATCAGGTTGTTGAGTTTCGTCTGATGTTTGCTTTAAGTGGCTATGCCCACTCGTCGTAAAAATGTTGACTTAAACAGACTGAAACGTTCCTGTAAACGAAGCAAGGTATTCGAGTTACTATCTTTGTCGTAAGTATTCAAAACATTTCCAACTATCCTCAGTTACGTCCAATACCTCCTGATATTCATAATATGGGGAGTACTGTTTGTAGTAAATCAATCAACGGACATGAGGTTTGAGTACTTTTGGCCTGTTTGGCTATCTGTTTGCTCGATACATGACTCACTGAAGTTCCAAGGACTGGTAAATATTATGTCTGTTCATATTTCACATGCAGCAATACACAATTGTCTTTATTATTGTTTTGATTACAGTTGATCTAATGTGTTTCTTCTTGATCCCTGTGTCATGGATTTACACATTCGGTAGTGCGTATGTGTGGTTATACCTTTTTCGGCATACTGGTTAGTGTGATGACTAACTGAATAATAAAAGTTTCAGATCAAGGGTTGTGTTTCCTCACTTTGTCGCTGTGTTTCGTTTTCATATATTTTGAATTTAGTCTCTACTCAAAAGCGACGAAATACACTCACAGCACTTATGTTTTCCGTCCATTTGCAGCACACAGGTATGATGAAATTGGTGTGATTAAACGCCCTTAGTATTGGCTACTCGGTAGTATGTGTGGGATTTTCTCTAAAACGGTACCTGGATATCAGCTATCAAGATGTAGGTACTTTTCGAGCTTTATATAGGATGTTTAGTTTAAAAGAATGAATGTTAGAAGGCAAAATCACCTGCATTTTCGAATTCTTTATGAAGCTCTCCCACCGTCGTCGGTAAGTGACAACGCTTGTAAGTTTCTGTTACATTCAAACATACTTGAGTCAGACGTTCAGCATAGTCTTGATTATTTTCAAAAGGATTCCCTAGAAGTTCATGAAGTTGCAATGTCTGATAATGTGAGTTCTTATCTCTTTTTTTTTAAAACCTCATTACTCCTCTACCTTTAATATCGTAGTACATTTTTGAATATATAGATTATATACAGCTATATATTTCAATGGTTTGCCAACCTCTAACTGATCATGATGCTCTACGAATAAGCAAGACTTACATCATTTAAATATTTACGTGAATAAGGATTCTGCTTATGACAAGATAAAACGACTAGAGGTCTTAAGTGATCAGCTCCACCTACTAACGAAATTTAAAATCTATAGCCAACTTTATGCAGTGAAGATCACTTGTTCCTGATAATTCAATGTTAACTGTCTTAAAGAGTGGGTCCCTAACCATAATAACTCATTATTAGTTGACGTTTGGTAGGTAAACAAACTTCTATCATTTTTCAATCTTATAAAAAGGGGAGTAAACTTCCTGATGATAACAACATAGAGTCAGCTTAGTTTGTTTATTGTCTAAAATACTAGTATTGATAATCATTCGATGCCTAAATGAAGATCTGCGGCAGCAAACCCGAGAAAACAAATTAAGCTCAGATTTGTCCTTAACTATGTAGTTTCAGTCACTTGCTAAAGTGTGACGCTTTAGTCAATACGTCAACTACCATGTTACAGTGACAAAATCCTGATTTATGCCTCATGGAGAATTCATTTTAGGAGGTTTAAACCTTCCAGTATTGTTTGGATCTACAGTCACTGACTTCTCAAAGAAGTGCTATTTTCTGGTTTGTTCATTGTTTACCTTTCTTCAACATGATTTAATTCTCGTTGAGCGTATAATTTATAGTTTGCCTAGACATTCGCTGTGTATGCCAACAGTCTTCCCTTCCAAATCGTCTGTTTGTTACCAATCAGAACACTAAAAAGTCATCCAAGTACCTGATGTTTTTTCTTTTGCTTTTATTTTAGACTGATAACTCGTGATTAACGACGTAGAATCTAAGCCCACAACACTGACTAACGAATCTCAATAGGTATACAATTCGGATAGTTGTGACAAAAAGTTGAGTCACAGGTACATAGTTCACTAACTGTTATTTCCGAACTGTTGAAGGCAACCCAACAGCTTATCGGTAAGATCATAGCTCTCAATCGGGAAAATATTCAAATACTACGAACTCTTTCCTTAGTTAAGAAACAGGATATACACGAACTGATCCCTCCAAAAACAGCTTCCATAGTTTCACATTTTTGGTCCTTCTCCCGTCACTAACATCTTTTTGAAAAATTGTATTGTTTACACTATGATCTTTGTGTGGGTGTTTAACTTCTGTTCTGTCTCCGTGTGACCACAGGCCACTCGATTCAAATGAATGATAAAATATAGCCTAAGCCACTGTAGCTTGCTACCAAACCGACCGAAGCTGCTACCTTGACGCGGTGGTCGGGCTTGCCTATCGTGATGACCCAAACGAGCTATATTGGCTGGAACATATGTTCCTGTAGGTTCTACCATGTCAGGCAGGTCGATTGGTGAACGGTAAGACTAAAAGCAGCAACTCCGAGGGCGAAGTCGTACTGCTGACTGTAGAGAGGTGTGACAGCAGTAAGGTGTTTCCCTCAGACAACCAGCATGACAGCGATGCTGCCTTCCCACAAGAAGGGGTGGGGTTAGAAAAGGTCGACCCTAAAAATGTCACACCTCACCTTACCTCACGGATTTCCGTCTCCGGCGGTAAGGCCCTTTGAAGAACGGAGCTAACACCTCAAAAACCTTCCACAAAAAGGCCGTGCGCGACCGGCCTCAAGCAGTTGTCCCTTGGGCTCTGCGGTCACGCTCCCAGGTCGTCAAGACCAACACTAATGCAATTTCTTTTTCAGGTTCCTCAAGAAATACCCTTCCACGGTGTGGGCAGCCGGGAAGTGACACCAGCCCTCATACCCGTAACAGCACACGAGACCAAGTTGGTCACATTCAAATCCTTCCTACACCTTCTAATACCTCTCTTATCTCCATGACTAACCCTCCTCATGTCTCTTTATCACCTCGCACCGCTAGGGCAAACGATTCGAGTACGTGGAACATTATTCCTGGTCTCCTGAAACCACGCTCTAAACTACACGTAGGAGCTTTTAACGTCCGAACACTGTGCCAAATAGGACAGCAGACTTCCTTAGCTAGGACTTTAGAATCTCGCGCCATCGACGTGTGCTGCGTCTCCGAAACGCGCATACAAGATCCGAGTAGCGTCATTCATTTGACTTCACCATGCCAAAATAAAGAACCGACTCGATTTACGCTTCGTGTATCTGGAAGCCCTGATTCTGCTTCCCGTGGACTCGCCGGCGTAGGTATAGCATTGAGTCCCAGAGCAGAATTAGCTCTCTTAGAGTGGATCCCAGTAGACAGCCGTTTGTGCGCTGTCCGACTGAACGGAACAGTAAGAATCCGGAAAGATAGGGACATCCGTCGTTGCCTCTTCGTCGTTTCTGCCTATTCTCCCACTGACTGCAGCCCAGATGATGTAAAAGATGAGTTTTACAGAAAGCTTTCCGACCTTCTCCGAAAAGCTAGGCGCTCGGATGTAGTAATAGTGGCCGGTGACTTTAATGCTCAAGTAGGTAAACTAAGCGATAGGGAAAGACACCTAGGTGGATCTTATGGTGTCGTGGCTCAAAGAACAGATAATGGCGACTGTCTGTTGCAGCTATGCTCAGATAATCGCCTGTTCCTTGCAAATACTAACTTTAAGCATAAGGAAAAACATCTTTTAACATGGCGACCCCCTAATTCGTCCCAACGTTGGACCCAAATAGATCACATCGCCATCAGCCACCGATGGAGGGGCTCGATAGAAGACTGTCGCTCATTCTGGAGCACATGCTTAGATTCAGATCATGCTCTAGTGCGAGCGCGTATTTGCTTGCGTCTTACTGGACGTAGGAAAGACGCTGCAAGGAAACCTCTTAGGGGCCTACTTAATGATAGTCAAGCTAAGAGTATATTTCAGGAACAACTAGGAAAACAGTTAGGCAGCCATGTATGTGATGCCCACCCCGATGCAGCATGGAATGATATCCGAAAAGCTGTGGAAACAGCAATGATATCTGCTAGTAAGGTAAACCAGAAGGTTAGAGAGCAACACTGGATCTCAGCAGCATCTATCGCACTGATAGATGCTCGGAAACTCATTCCATCTGGCTCTGAACATAATGAAGAGCGGAGTCAGCTTAAGCGCAAGCTGACAAGAAGTCTACGCAATGATCGTGAACAGTGGTGGGTAGCGAAAGCAAGAGAGATGGAGAAGGCAGCGGCAATAGGTAATAGCAGACAATTGTTCAGACTCGTTAAGGAAACCGGAATTAGGAACCCGACCGTTAGCGAAACAATCTCAGAGAAAGATGGACATATTATTCATTCTCAATCCAGGAGATTGGATCGATGGGCAGAACACTTCAGGGATCAGTTCAACTGGCCTTCAGCCACACTTCGGTTTCCCACGATCCCCAGTCAACCTGAATGGCAAGTTAATGTAGGTCCTCCGTCTCTTAACGAAGTTGAAAAAGCCATAGGAAATCTGAAACGAGGGAGAGCAGCAGGCCCTGACAGGTTTACTCCTGAGATTTTTAAGGATGGTGGTCCAGTATTAGCAATGAGATTAACCGAGGTCTTAGGTAGAATTTGGGAACTGGACGTAATCCCATCTGACTGGTCTCAATCACTGATTGTGCCAGTCTATAAGAAAGGACAAAAGTCCTCTTGTGACAATCACAGAGGAATCAGTTTGACTAATATAGTGTCTAAAATATTAACCTCAATAATACTTCGACGCCTAACCAAAGCTCGTGGAGAACAGACTAGAGAAAATCAGGCCGGTTTTCGACCTGGACGTGGTTGTATAGATCAAATATTCACACTACGTCAGGTTCTAGAACACAGACACACGTTTAGACGCCCGACAATGGTAGTATTTCTCGACCTTAAGGCGGCATTCGACTCTGTTGATCGTAGGGTTCTATGGCAGTGTTTGTCACTGAAAGGAGTACCAAAGAAGTACATTAACCTTGTGAAGGCTCTCTACTCGAACACAACTGGCAGAGTGAGAGCTTATGGCGAACTGTCATCAGAATTGATTACCTCAAGTGGTGTTCGTCAGGGCTGTCCACTCTCTCCATTCTTGTTCAACTTTGTGGTCGACGTACTTTTAGAGATGACACTCTCCTCATCTAAATTTCCAGGGGTTGAACTTCTACCGGGAGGTTCACTTGTTGACTTAGAATATGCTGATGACATAGTTTTATTTGGCGAAGACGCTGACAAAATGCAGAGTCTTCTGACCACTCTAAGCAACAATGCAAGCATGTTCGGGATGCGATTCTCTCCCTCGAAATGCATAATGTTGCTTCAGGATTGGGTTACATCGACACCCGAACTAGTGATAGGGAGTGAAGTAGTTGAGTGTGTCGACCGCTTCACTTATCTTGGAAGTCTCATCAGCCCTTGTGGTCTGGTATGTGACGAAATCTCAGCACGGATACAGAAGGCTCGACTAGCTTTTGCGAACTTGCGTCATTTATGGCGTAGGTGAGATATCCGTCTATCAACCAAAGGACGGGTTTACTGTGCAGCAGTACGTCCCGTCCTACTTTATGGAAGTGAAACATGGCCGGTAAGAGTATAGGATATTCGTAGGTTACTAGTATTCGATCATAGGTGTCTTCGAAACATTGCTCGTATATCATGGGACCATCGAGTAAGTAACACAGTTGTTAGGAAACGGGTACTAGGTAAGGATGGCAAATCAATTGATGAAGTAGTGAAACTTCATCAGTTGAGATGGCTGGGACACGTGTTACGTATGCCCAACGACCGACTGCCTCGACGTGCGATGTTCAGTGGTATAGGAGTAGATTGGAAGAAAGCTAGGGGCGGCCAGACCAAAACATGGCACAAGTCCATGAAGTCACTGACAAGTGGTCTGAGTCATGTCGGTAGGTGTAGACTACCTGGTTGGGGACCGCGAGATGATAGCAACCGATGGTCAGAGACCCTGAATGACATGGATCAAAATCGTTTGCAATGGCGCAGGTGCATCCACTCTTTGTGTTCTCCCAAATTCTAATCTTCTGAATTCTTCATGTCCCTTTTTTCCTCTTTCCAAATTTATTTGACTGGATTATACTCTTTAAATAACATCTCCAAACCCTAATCTTCCCGATCACTGCTTACACTCTTGCTACCTCTACCACTACGGGATTTGGATCGAAAACTGCATCTCTGTGTTAAGGTGGTGTGGCAACTCGAACTGATGTACGTACGTACGAAGTTCTTCGTTGTTACTGACTGACCAAACTATTACTTGAACAGGCTGTAGATTCTTTTCATAATGATGCGAATAACATCCTTGCATGACTCAAACAAACGTCTCCCCTTATTACCCCAGTCTGAAGTTTGCTGACATATGCTAATGGGCATTGTTATCAGGTCCTGCATTGCTCACAAACGAATGACAATGCTTGTACCACTCATTATGTGAAAACTCCCATTGTTACGTTGACCCCCGAAGACATCTTGATCATTAGACATGGGACCACAATATTAACACCAACTACCTTCAAACTCTGGAAAGATGCACACCTTGATTGTCTTACTTTGTTCTCTATCCCTAAGACTAATAAGATCGACTGGTAACCACTTGACGATATCCGCAAATTTTTATTGTCAGTTCTTGCGACTAATTTCATCGCAGATTAAGTTTGGAGTTAGGCTATATCAGTTTGAGTCTCACTGTCACGTTCTCGTAAATGTTGAGTTTATTTTTCCGTGAGTCTTTTATCAACAGGTATTGTTCTCATTCATCCTCAGAGTTTCATACGATCACAGTTCGTCTCATTCTAAGAAAAGATGCTCAACCATTCTTCCATTTTACCCATAGTTATGTAATTCGAGTTTCAAAATTATTTCATACTTTTGATTCCATAAACTAACCGTTTCTTTTTGAAAAATGATTCCCTATGTCTAATGATTTTTCACTTCAACTGATATTACTGCTACTACTACTACCGCAACTACTTAAACCACTTTTATATTCATCCTGGTAACTTCCCCCGACTATGCTGACGTGGTACGGGAAAGTGGGCCGACGCAAATGCATACCAGGTTCTACGTTGCTGATGACTAGCTGAATGATAACCTACGTGACAATTGTAATAAAGTCAGTGCTTGGTAGGAGAAGTGTTCTGACTTTTGTCTAAATTTAATACCAGCCGTGCGATGTTCGTTTTTGGGAGAATTCCAAGAAAGCATCACCATTGAGATAATGAATAAAATTTGTAGCTCAGACGGACGCTATTAGTGACTCTGAGTTTTCCGACCCAAATGGCTTATTTGCAGAGCACCCATTGTCATTCTAAACAATGTCTTCAGCACCTAAATGAATTATACTTGATTAACATTGTCACAATGTCACTCGCATTCTAATACAAACCTTAGCATTTTTGTTTGGATACTGAAGTGTTCTGTTACATAACTACACATTGAAGCTTTAATATTTGAAGTAGCTTCGAAGATCTTTGGTGGGATTTCTCCACTATGTCATTGGCGCGGCAGTTATTAAGTGCGTATACAAGTCGCTAAACTCGATAGTCAAGGCTTAAATTCACTAGGTGATTTGAAAAACTGCAGTGATCACGTTCGCATGACATAATTTGTAGTCATTTTTTATTTCGTGTTAGATATTTTTGTATTCATCTATCAATAGAAGGATTAGCTTTGCTGGACACTCGTGTAGCATTTTAGCATCCAACGAATTACGTTGTGAGCTGTCATCTCTCAACCACTTCCCATTGATATATTCGATCGATTAGATTTCCAATTATCAGACTTTATTTTTAATGCTAATCGTCGTGTTTTTCATTTTTCGGAATGTCTTGTTTTTTGTTTACTAGTTCTCATCAGATTTTTCTAGTCGATCGGTATTCATACTTTTTCGCTTTGGTCAGTTATGTTTTGGTCGTTTAGTTCGATGGACTTTCGGCTATCTCAGATCTGTTGATAAACAATACTTGGATTTTGATAGGTATGCTTTACCTGTTTTATCACATTGTTATTTCAAAATCTCATATTATAAGCTATATGCTCTACTTGAATTAAGGAATGTATTTCAACTGGTGTATCTTAAATTGTTTACAAAATATTCGTGGAACAATAACGCATATTATTCTTTGGACTTAACATTTTGGAATTCAATCAGACAAATTGAGTCGTTCATTTTGCTGTTGAGTACGTATAACAACTGTTGAGAATGGATGGATTTCGGCCCAGTGGTCTAGAAGTTAAGTGTTCGCGCGTGAGACCGAAGGCCCTGGGTTCGAATCTCGTGAGCGGGACCGTGGATGCTCACTGCTGGGGAGTCCCACAATATGACGATGCGGCCGTTCAGTGCTTCCACGTTTTCAATGGTGGTCGAACATCGATCGGTTCATGATCTCAATCGTTTCCATAAAGTTTGGCCCATACACCCCCAATGTCTTTTCTTAATTTCTTCTTCAACTGGTTGCTGATGGGTTCTGTGATAGAGTAGGTTATTACTGATGGTGTTTGATCAACGCATCTAGAGTATCTTGCGTAGACAACTGTTTATAAATATATGTACCTTTTTGATGATGGTTATAGTAGTTCTCAAAATTTCAGCTCCGTACAATAGTACTGTCTTGATTTTCGTATTGAAAATTCTGACAGTTTTTTGAGTTCCAGATGTCCTTCAATCTTATGAATGTTGGTCTTGCTTTGCCAATCCGTTCCTCAACGCCTGCATCACATCCCACTTGCTTATCAGTGATACTGCTGAGGTTCGTAAAAGTTTCCACTTCCAGAGCTTCCCTATGAAGTTAAACTTGGTTGGTCTTCGCTTTGTATTTTAGGATATTGCTTTTTCTCATGTGAATGTTGAGGCCTGTTGCTGTGGAGACTGACACTACTTTGGCTGTCTTCACCTGTATTTGTTGCTGTAAATGGGATAGAGAAGCTAGGTCATCTGTGAAGTCCAAATAGTCTATCTGCATCCAAGCTATCCACTGTATTCTGTGCCTCCCCTCAGATACGGAGGTCTTCATGATCAACTTAACCACCAGAAGAAAGAGAAAGGAGGAGAGTGAGCAGCTTCGTCTGTCATTGGTCTTCACTTGGAATACATTTTTGAACTGCCCTTAATGCATAAAGTTGCAGTGTAGTCTGTTGTAAGAATTCCGTACGATTATGGCAATCTTCTCAGATAGATCATAGTATCGAGGAACGTCCCATGAGGTCCTCCTATCCACTCTGTCGAATGCTTTTCCATATTCAAGTAAGTTGGTGCGTAGTGATGAGTTTCATTCGATTAATTGTGTCGCCATTTGGTCGGTGCATAGCCGATCCTTACAAAATCCAGCATGTTTGTCTAGAAGTTGAACCTGTACTGAATCTTCCATTCGGTTTAACATCACCGTTGAAAGCTTTCTGCTACTGATATTATTATATGCCTCTTGCCCTCGCACGTGCTAAGATCTCGTTTCTCCAGTAGCTTGATGAGATATCTCTCTTTCAAGTCTGTCGGAACTTGTTCTTTCTCCCAAATCTTTCTGAAGAAACCTTGGGGCATCTTCCATGTCAGGATTCAATGCACCATCTGGTCTGGTGTCCAGTTTTACTGCTTTACCATTCTTGACTTTTTTATGGCCATTTTGCTTTCTTCTACTGTTAGTGCGATAATATCTGTAGTGAAGTTTTCGTGTGTTGCTTCGATTCCTAGTGGGTTTTGTTGGGCTGGTCTGTTTTAGAGTTCTTGATAGTGTTGTGCTCTCCTATTCCGTTGCTCTTGAATTTCACCGTTTATTTTTAACTTTGTTATTGGTTGGTTGCTCTCGTTCACCATATTTTCCATCTAACTTCATTGTATCGTATGGTTGTCTCATGTTTCCTTTTCTCTTGCAGCTTTTTTCTCTGTCATTGCTAGGTCTTCCAAATATTTCTGCTTTTCGCCCTAGTGCTACTCTTCATGTGATTGTTTACTCCTGTTTATTCGCCTTGTGCATTTGCTTTTTCTGTTCTTCTTCAGCTGTTGTTGGTTTCTATTTTCTCGTTTTTCCTCTCTCGAATCCTGTCCAGGGTATCAATAAAGATTCACCCTTCATACCGACGCTTCTTACGGTTCAGTACATCCCTAAAAGTGTTGAAGCTATAACTACTTTTATCTGTTTTCAGTTATTCTCTATAGTGATTTCCTCCTCTCATAGTAGATCTTGTAAGGCTTGAAACTTGTTGTTGGGAGCTATCTTAAATTCTCTAAGTTCACTAGTAACTCTAAAAAAAGCTGTATTAGACTTTTATAATGCTGTTTGTCCAGTTTTCCAGTGCTTCATTAGCTTTAGTACCAAGTGATGATCTCCCGACCGTTGTTGCTACCTTGACGTGGTGGTCGGGCTTGCCTATCGTGATGAAGCAACCGAGCTATACTGGCTGGAACAACCGTTCCTCAAGGTCCTACCATGTCAGACAGGTCGGTTGAAGAGCCGTAAGACTAAAAGCAACAAACCTAAGGTCCGAAGGCGAAGTCGTACTGCTGACTGTACAGAGGTGTGACAGCAGTAAGGTGTTTCCTTCAGACAACCAGCATGACAGCGATGCTGCCTTCCCACAAGAAGGGGTGGGGTTAGAAAAGGTCGACCCTAAAAATGCACACCTCGCCTTACCTCACGGATTTCCGTCTCCGGCGGTAAGGCTCTTTGAAGAACGGAGCTAACACCTCAAAAACCTTCCACAAAAAGGCCGTGCGCGACCGGCCTCAAGCAGTTGTCCCTTGGGCTCTGCGGTCACGCTCCCTGGTCACTAAGACCACTTCTAATCCGATTTCCTTTACAGGTACCTCCAGAAGAACCCTTCCACGGTGTGGGCAACCGGGAAGTGATAACCGTCCTCATACCTCTAACAGCACTCAAGACCACTGTATTCATAATCAACCTTCCTCTTCAATTCCTATTATTCCTCCTACATCGACTTTCAACCCTAAACTTCCTCCTTCGGCTTCTTCCTCAAGTGTCACCATAGCCAACGATTCTAGTGCTCAAAACTCTGTCCCAGGTCTACTGAAACCTCGCTCCAAACTACACATTGGAGCTTTCAACGTACACACTCTATGTCAAATCGGTCAGCAGGCTTCCTTGGCTAAAACCCTAGAGTCTCTTTCCATCGATGTATGCTGTGTCTCCGAAACACGCACACAGGATCCCAGTGTGGTCATTCACTTGACCTCACCTCGGCAAAACGGAGAGCCAACTAGATACACCCTACGTGTATCTGGTGACCCGATGGCCAGTTCTCGTGGACTGGCAGGTGTAGGCGTAGCACTAAGCATGAGGGCGGAACAAGCACTGCTAGAGTGGATCCCCGTCAACAGTCGTCTATGTGCTGTTCGGCTAAACGGCTCCGTAAGAACTCGGAAGGATAGGGACACACGTCGTTGCCTTTTTGTCGTTTCTGCCTACGCTCCCACTGACTGCAGCTCAAATGATGTGAAAGATGAATTTTACAGAAAGCTTTCTGAACTTCTTCAGAAAGCTAGACGCTCAGACATAGTACTCGTAGGGGGTGACTTTAATGCTCAGATTGGTAGCTTAAACCAAACAGAAAGGCATTTAGGTGGATATTTTAGCATTCCGGCACAGCGAACAGATAATGGTGATCGTCTGCTGCAACTGTGCTCAGACAATCGTTTATTTTTAGCAAACACAAATTTTAAGCATAAGGAGAGACATCGTCTAACATGGCGAACCCCTACACCAAACCAACGATGGACTCAAATAGACCATATTGCCATCAGTCATCGTTGGAGAGGGTCGGTAGAAGATTGTCGCTCATTCTGGAGTACCTGCTTGGACTCCGACCACGCCCTAATACGGGCACGCATCTGCTTGCGCCTCACCGGACGCAAAAAAGCCACATTAAAAAGACCTATTAGAACTGAATTGAGTAACGGGAAAACCAAAAATAGGTTCCAAGAACAACTGAGTTCACACTTAGGTAGTTCTGAAGACGAGGCTGACCCAGATGTTGCTTGGAAAGACACACAAGCAGCTGTGGAAGCAGCAGTGACATCTATTAGCAACCTAAACCACAGAGTTTCAAAGGACCAGTGGATTTCTTCAAAGTCTATCACACTGATGGATTCTCGCAAACTCGTCCCATCAGGTTCCGAACATGATGAAGAGCGACAACAAATCAGATCTAGGTTAAGAAAAAGTCTAAAAAACGACCGTGAGCAGTGGTGGGCAACGTAAGCAAAAGAGATGGAAAAGGCGGTGACTATAGGGAACACAAGACAGCTTTACAGACTAATAAAAGAAACTGGAATTAATAAGTCAAGTGTAAGTGAGATTATATCGGCAAAAGACGATACACTCATCTGCTCCCAGTCCAGGCGTTTAGAACGATGGGCGGAACATTTCAGAGAACAGTTCAGCTGGCCTTCAGCTACTCTACAACTACCCTCCATTCCCAGACAATGTGAATGGAACATTGAAGTAGGTCCCCCAACTCTTGCTGAAGTTCAAAAGGCTATAGATAATCTGAAAAGAGGAAGGGCTGCTGGTCCAGATGGACTGGCTCCAGAAGTCTTTAAGGATGGTGGTCCAATTTTAGCGGTTAGGTTGACTAATATTTTAGCTAAGATCTGGGACTTAGACGTTATTCCATCTGACTGGTCTCAATCACTTATCGTCCCAATATATAAGAAAGGGTCAAAATCATCCTGTGTCAACCACAGAGGGATTAGTTTAACTAATATAATATCTAAAATACTAGCCTCAATAATAATCAGACGCCTAACTAAGACTCGTGAACTGCAAACACGAGAGAATCAAGCTGGCTTCAGACCTGGTCGTGGCTGCATCGACCACATATTTACCATTCGTCAGGTTCTAGAACACAGGCATACTTATCGGCGTCCGACGATGGTGGTCTTTCTTGACTTAAAAGCAGCATTTGACTCTGTAGACCGCGAGATTCTGTGGTCGTGTCTGTCATTGAAAGGCGTACCCCAGAAGTATATAAACCTTGTAAAGGCTCTTTACTCGAACACTACTAGTCGAGTCAGGGCTTATGGCGAACTGTCATCTAGTTTTGCAACCTCAAGTGGTGTCCATCAAGGATGTCCATTTTCCCCATTTTTGTTTAACTTCATCATAGATCTACTGATAGAAATAACTTTCTCGTCGACTGAGTTCTCGGGTATTGATCTCCATCCAGGAGGTTAGTTATCGACTTAGAATACGCAGATGACATAGTCCTGTTTGGTGAAGACGCTGACAAAATGCAGAGTCTTCTGGTACCACTGAGCAACAATGCCAGGATGTTTGGAATGCGCTTCTCTCCCTTTAAATGCAAGTTGTTGCTTCAGGACTGGTCTGCGTTAACACCTGAACTAAGGATAGGGAGTGAAGTAGTCGAACGCGTTGACAACTTCACTTATCTTGGAAGTCTGATCAGCCCTAATGGGCTGGTATCGGACGAAATCTCAGCACGGATTCGAAAAGCTCGCTTGGCTTTTGCCAACTTACGTCACCTGTGGCGAAGGCGAGATATCCGTCTATCAATAAAAGGACGAGTATACTGCGCAGCAGTCCGTTCTGTTTTAATTTACGGCAGCGAAACATGGCCATTAAGAGTAGAAGACACTCGTAAGCTATTAGTATTTGACCACAGATGCCTAAGAAATATTGCTGGCGTCTGCTGGGATAACCGGGTAAGTAATAGTGAGGTTAGACGCAGGGTATTAGGAAAGGATGGTAAATCAGTTGATGAGGTTGTTAATCTTCATCGACTGAGATGGTTGGGCCACGTGTTACGTATGCCTGAACACCGATTACCACGTCGTGCAGTGCTAACCGGTGTTGGAAATGGTTGGAAGAGAATTAGGGGCGGCCAAACCAAAACGTGGCATCAGTGCTTGAAGACGCTAACCTCTAGTCTGAGCCATGTTGGTAGATGCAGACTACTTGGTTGGGGTCCGCGTGACTTTCGTAACCGATGGTTGGAGACTCTTGGTGACATGGCTCAGAATCGATCACAATGGCGTCGGTGTATACACTCCCTGTCTTCCCTTAAACTTAGAGATTAAAATCGCTTCATATCTTTCTTTCTACGAACCAATTCTGTCTTCTTGTACTATATCTCTATATGCAATCTTTCTCTTATATATTACCACCTTTTACCTAACCACTGTTATGAATCCGGTGTTCATCTTGTTGTGTTGATGCGGTATGGCAACCTGGACCGATGCACATATGTGCCTGGTCCTACGTTGTAGCTGACTGACTGAAGTGATGATCTAAGGTGACATCAACTCCTCTTTTTGTTCTTACATCTTTGAACCTTCTGAACTTCTGACTGATACGATCGTGATTGATCTGGTTCATAGTGCTACGAAAAGAAACACCAATCCCTTTCTTATTGTTTCTTTGTCTCATAGTCACTATCAATCATAGGAACTTGTAAATAATGTTGGTCACACTAATCAAATAGCAAGTAAATTACTATTTTTAGAGGTCATTATTTATTGCTTTGATTCGTTTTATTTACCCTGAAACCGTTATCAAATACGATTAGCTGCTTTTTTGTCTCAAAGTTCTCATCATGAATGTAGAAAAAACTCAAGTTTAAGTGGATACACTACACTGAAGCATTGATTGTTATTACGTAGTATTTAAGATTTTTTAGTTCTGTAATGTTCAGAATATGATGCAAAGTGACCTTAATTCTTCCTTTTATCCTGGCTATGACTTCCTATCACAAATGTAACCAAAATAATCTTATTGAAAAACAATAACAAATAGGCGGTGCAAATTTTTTTTCATTATGGCGTAAAATTGTGGTCCTTCCTGTAAACTACAATAGAACGAATTCCCAGTAGTGCAGTACTAGTTTATTACATCTTACGTAGACCAAATAATTTCTAAAACGCCGTGTCTATAAGTTTGCTACTAATCACCAGGATATTATGTTTTCTGGACAATTTAAGAAGCATAATGATATATATCATATTGGTAGACAAGTATCCTTGCATTGCATTTAAACTTTACGACTATGTCTAGTTCATGTGATAAATGTTTTCTGTTAAGTATTTTCAATCATTCCATATCCTATACTTACAGTCGAACTGCACGTTTTAACCATTCCTCGACTACAATAGTAAATGGAGTAATATCAAATACTTGTGTTGTTGATGCTGGTCGACGTCGAGCTGTACAGTGCCTTGAGTCAAGTCCGTCTGGATCGCAAATTAGTCGTCGATATACTACAGAGAATTCAGTGAACCTTTACTCTAATTCTAAACCTTCAGTTAATGGTTGTGTTCCTAAGCAATCTAGTAGTGGGAAACCAGTACGTGAACGAGGTGCTAAGGAAGATCCAGTAACAAGGTATGCGAATTCGTGTTAATTTAATGGTCTTTATTCTTTTTGCATTTTTCAAATGAATCACTACAACATTTGCAACGTGTTTGACAGTCATTCTGTCAAATTTGTAGGCTATAATTCCGTATGTAACTAGTTATTGAACGTTGTAGTTTTTATCGATCTACTCTATTTGTAGAATTAACTTAATCAAGTTAGTTAAAAAATTTCTTTATGGTATTAATTCTTATTCACTGCGTGTCTTTACCAACTTATTATTTATCTATTTAATTATTTGAACGCATAAATATTGGTACAAAGGGGCACCGAATACATATGAGTCACACAAGTCACTTGATTTGTGTGTGGGCTATGATACTGTCCGGGTGTCCAAACCGAAGCAGGTGGTTTATTAGGGGGCCACATCCGGAGCCTTCGACCTAAAGGTATAACCCACAAGACAGCGGAGCAACGTAAGGAGATGCGGTCCTATGGTAGCCGGTGACCGACGATTGGTTCATACGCCATTTGTTCCCTTGGGATCCTGGAGCCCATGTGCACCACTGGTTTGGGATCAGGTTTTTTATCTCACCTAGTTGAATCTTTCTTGCTCACCACCCCTGTTAAGACGCCGGACATTTGCTTTTCGTCCTCTCAATTTCGTAAACAACACCGCGAGGTAGTGGGTAGGACTTCCGTGTCAGTGGCTGTATGCATGTGACCATGTGAGAACATTTCGAGAGGGGGAGCGGACTCTCCCCACCCTTGGCCGTACCAGGGCACCAGCTAAAGAACTTTCGAAGCTACTTCTATGTGTTGTATCACATACTACTCTTTAATTTGCTCTAGAATCGTTTAATTTAGTTCGTTGGATCAATTCTGTTCCTATTAGTGATAAATTTTATTCACCATGAAGGATATCAGAATGGCGAACCAAGAAATCGAAATAACGTGTAAAATCTAGTAAATTTAGTTGTGCGGATTTTTTCGGGGTAACATTTACCATGTAACTTTGTTTTGAGGCTATTATATCTAATAGTTTGGTGGTTCCGCATGGACTTACAGTAATCGTTAATTACTGGACGATTGGGATTCTCTTTATACAAACGCAAACGAGTAGGAACTCGAACAAACCGAACTTATATCGCTTCAACATTGATAATCCATAAGATAGAGATGACAGGATTTTTAGTATAGCTTTATACCCCTAATAGAAGTAAAAGAATGAAGTACAACAGCTCTTTCTATAATAAAGTGTAATAATCTTGAACATGTAGTGAAGCAAACTAAAAAGAATAACAACCAATAAGGTAACAGTTAGGGTTATCGCGGAAATATGAACTAGAAAGTTGTCATCGTGTTTATCGTTTAAAGAAAGAACTGACATGTAATAACAAATACCTATACAACCTAATTTCTCCCTAGCAGAAAAATAACCTTGATTGTTCAAAATAATACGTATTGATTATTTGCATACTTTTGTGTAGTGTACTTTATCTAACAACTAATGTACACTTTGCTGATATTTTTACAATAGATTAGAGAGTAACGTTAGACGTCTCCGTTCCGAATTACAGTCCATGCGTGGACTGGAAACTCAATTGCGTAACCAACTAAACAGTCTTCAACATGACGATCATCTCAATCGACTCAGTCTGTCCAACCAACGTCAAGAAAACGAGGGTATTTCATCACGTATTTCAAAGCTAACTAATAAATGCCGTACTGAACGAGTTAATTTAAACACAATTGAGCAAAATTTAGGTGAAGAAGTTCGTTTGCGTCAGTTGGTCGAAGCTCAACTCACTGAAATTGGTATAATTCCTGTGCGTAGTTTTGTGGGATCAAATGATGCTAATAGTGTACCTAGCAATTCAACTGAAAAGTGTATTCCAACATCAATGTCCCTTATTCAGTAAGTAACTGCTAAAGAAACCAGTGTTTTGTTCTTAAAATCCCTAATTGTTTTTTATTCGGGTTGAATTTAAAAGTATATAATTAAAGTCAAATATTGTGATAAATCGTATATCCAGGACAAGTTTATGAGTTGTAAGCTGCCATCCACCTTTATCTTCTAATTCATATTTTGTGGTGCTTAGAATTTAAGATATCATCAGTATGAGCATGTGTAAAGTTACGGTTAGTGTAATCCTTAGCAGTAGAATATTCCTCATTGTTCACTAAATCTCCATTTCATGTCTTCCTCACCACTTTTCAGGAAAGTATTAACAGTAATTTTTCAGTTCAAATTTAACTACTTTTACAGCTCACGGTAACCGTCGAAACCCACTCGACAGTATACTTAGTATCTTGAAACCATTCAAAAGAACAAATCAAGCTGTTCTCTGCATTAAGATGTTACACTTCACCTACTAGAACCGCAATTAAATGATGACTGTGTTCATATACGTTGGGCGGCGGTTTCCTGAATGGGTAAAGGAGATGGCTTTCAGTACAGCATAAGCTCGAACCTCTGTTATTTTCACTAACTGCATAAAACATATATGGTTCTAAGCCGAGTATAATAATCCGTACTTCAAATCTACCTTTTTCTGGCTTTTTTGATTGTTTCTACTTGGCCATAGCTCCTACTGTGATTAGACTCGCATATCACGACGACTTTATACGTATAGATTGACTCGAACAATTGTTTTTCTGTGTTCCATTATACCAGGGAGGTTGATTGTATAGGGATTAGATTAAAAATACGAGGTTTAAAATGGTACGTATTGACTGGAGCTGGATACAGCGATATAGCAGGCAACATGATTTAGAGTTTTCAGAGCTAATACTACAAAAATAGCTACACTAAAATGTGAATGACTAGCCTCTGTCAATTTTTCTATGGGTTCTGTAAATATACCCTCAAACTATCGACGTCATCAACTATACATTCTCTCCGGTCGCCAAGAAAGTTAACACGCGATTTAAGCAGTTGCTAAGCTTTAGAGAAAGCGTTGTTCAGAATCATTTGGCATGGGAGTTAACCAGCCTCCAAATGCCAATATTCTAACTCAAGAACGGTTTGTATCTGTTATGGGTGTTAGATCCCCAGAACTCACTTGGTAAATGCCTTAATTTTATTTTGGAAATTTGCATTTCCTTGTTTTCGCGTCAATAGCGCACTTTTCACCTTCATGTCGTATTTTCTACTTGGGGGGATCTTTAACGCTATTGGTCCGTTGTGTATTTTTAGTCTGCTATTTTTGCAACGCTTCTCAAGGACAGTTTTATGCTGTATATATACGTTTGGTTTGTGTCTGTTATTATTCACTCGTGCTTCTGGCTTACGGAATATACTTTCCCGTTCCAAGCTTGGACTTCTTCCTCTAGTTAGCGGGATTGGGACGCATCATATAGCTAGCTTATTGGTCTACGGTCACAAGTCTTTGTTCAGTTCGCATACTAAGTGAACTCGTAATAGCTTCAAACCTAGCAGTATCAATGCGTAATGTATGTATACTGAGTGTTTTGATTAGTTTGTTTATCGTGCAAGTCGCACCAATGATGATAAGCTGGTGGCTGACGAAAATTCGGCACGAATACAGATATTTATTTTGGTCTCTTCTAACTCGTACCACATCTAACGCAGGTGAGGCATCTCTCTGAATATCAAATAACAAGTATACTGTACGGTAGTTCGTTTCGGGCTAATCATAGCTTTAATACTTGGGCTGTCAGGATAGGAAACAAGCATAGGCTGCTAACGTTTGGTCTCAGATCGCTAGCAATCAGTTTAACAATATTTTTTCATTGATTATTTACGTCCGAAAGCTAATGATTTTCGACATCTTAACATGTATTGTAGTTTACAAAAAAAACTTACTGGTCAAATCCTTATTTAAATCTGACTTGATGTTTTATTTTGTTTCCCTTTCGATTTATATAGAGCGTCTTCTAATAATGACTCATCGTCGAATTCTAATGTCGTAATACTTCAACCAAGCGAAAGTGAAAAAATAATGGATAATTATTGCTGTAGACTACGTCAACTACTAGAGTCAAAGATTTATGCACTTAGATTAACTGTGAAATATCGTGAAAACTTAACACTAGCTTCCAAAATGCACCATTCAGGTCAGCTGGTTTCCAAGTGTCTAACCAATGCAAACTTAAAGGTTGTAGACACTTCAAATTATAATAGCAGTGTTCATCAATACGATTCACAATCGTTGCCCTGTAGACTTCAATCCGGACATTTTATAACCAAAGATGTTTATTGTTGCATTTTGAACTCAGATGTAGAAAATTTGCATAATGTTGCTATGATTAATCAACATACGTCAACAAATAACCATAGGCATGCATTTTTAGAAAATTGTTTCAATTTAGCTAATGAGAAACGAGAACGTTTGGCAAATAAATTACGTACAGAGAATTGGCAAAAACAAGAATTACTCACATTATATCACACATCTGTACGGGAAATAACTGAACTCAATAGTAAGTTTGTCTTATAAGTTTAGGATCAATCTTTTTAAATCCTTGTGGACTTTTAACTTCGTGTAACTTTTTATACATACCTTACTTCAAACAGTGTAGTCATCTTTATGTGAATTCTCCATTAAAAGTGTATATTAATTGCTACAATAAATAGAAAGTTTATTGGTTCTTGTTTAGTCAGTGGTCATTATAGTGGTTTTTTAATCGTACATTAATTCACTTAAGTAAAATTTATCGTGATATTTTTCATCTTAGTTCTCTTATGTAGGTTGAATTTGTTGCTCGGATAGAATATGCTTCATAGGACAATTTGTGTAATCCCCCTAAGGTTCTATGCTGAAATCCACTAGTTCCAAACTGACCTATTGTCTTATTGCAAACTATTCTTGATATAAACTAATTACTATCCCAAATGGTTGGTAGTCACTATTGTTTTTCATTTATTGATATTATGTCGAACACCACTCATGGCTTTAATTATGCAAAAACCATTATCTAATAAATTGTTTTATCCTACTGAACTACGTTACCGTATCAGGTATGCACAAGTACAAAACATAAAACCACTTACGGAAACATTTTGCGATAGATCTGAGCATAGACGAACATCAGCTGGAGGTTAGAATAGTCGTTTTTCTTCCGTTCGAAACAGTTTAATACTGAGCACTAGTTAACTCTGTATGATGAATTGACCGAATTCGGAAAATATACATAATTCGATTCCAATTCTGTTTATCATAGAAATGTATCATTTTTAGTTCAATTTAGTGTAAGATAATGATTGCTCATTGTTATGAGTTCCAAACTAAGTTGAAACGACTATCAGTTGCACTATTCTTTTCGATGACTTTTCAATAGATGTCATCCAGTGATGAAAATGTAAACATAAGTCTAGAGAATCGATTGAGTAAAACACGGGTAAATGAAAGGATGGTTTCAGCGGAATAATAAATTTACTATTGTCTCTTTCTGGACACATTAATCTTGATGTGAATTTTCTGATTATTGCTGCTTTGGGAAACTGAAGAGAAGTTGTATTTTTTGTCTGCTGATTATTTTGAAGGACTCGGAAGTGTCGGTAATATGCACGCTACCAATCAAATACCGATCTTTTGCACTGCGTAGAGTTGTTGCACCTCCCAGTCTCAAATTCTTTAGAGCATGCTCTTCAAATATTGTATAGTTATTACGTAACCCATTTAACTATTTTCGACTTCTCATTGCCCTGTTATATATATTTGTGATGTGAAACTGTTCAAATACTCTATAATTATCACAGCCCATCTTGTCAGTCTCCAGAATCCACATAATTACTGCCGCGATCCTTTGTATTTCTGAATTCCATCTATAAATGACCTTACATTTTTTATATACGTTGTTGGTAATTTCTGTTATTCTTATTCTTTCCATCATCAATGTTGGTTACTCTACATTATATCATATCTCAATGTTACACTTTGATGCGAATACGATTGTAAGGAGCCGTTGAGAAACCCCAAAAATAAGATGAATTGAAATCATTCAGACTCAATTTTTGTTTTGAGCTTATTCAAATTCATAAGGGAAACCAATTGCACTGAAATAGTTTTATATTTTTATAAAAATCTTATTACGATTCTGGTTTAATTCTTGGAAAACATTACGATATGAAGATAACGGAAGAACTAATTCCAGTCATAACCACTGAATAAATAATTTTACATACCTCCATTAAAAACGATATCTTAGTTATTTACACAGGGAAATAATTGTTCAAGTAAATTCATAATAGTCTATTCTGGACTTTTAAAGTGGTTTTTCTCGAAGATTACTGTTCATTGTAATCTCTAGTAAACTTTTTCACCAAGATTATTACATCGACAGTTAAAATTCACCTGGGCTCTCAATAAATACACACGTGATTTTTTACTGGGTTTTCGTAATATGTCTATCAAAAAGAAATTTAAGGCTCATCTTAGAATATTTCACATAAAACAATGAAAATGATTACTAAATCTGAATTTCAAACAGAGAAATTGATTTGAAAGTCTAATGTATGAAAGACGTTAAGATTGAGCTGAGACGTATCAGTTAATGCAACTAATGTAGTTCAGGCCCTCAAGGGCCGTAACTAGCATAGCTATAGGAAATCTTTCGTGCACTCATATTACCTTGATGCTTTTAAATTACTGTTATCAGAGTGTTCACATAGTGTGCGAAAAATTAACAGGTTAGCTTATCCGATGCACTTGTTTTTATGGTAGAGAATATTTGTGGCTTAGACTAAGGATGTTAGAGATATGGTCTCAGAGCTAGATAATTTAGTTGTGAAGTTTTCATTGTTCTTCTGAACAATGTCATCGGTACGTTGTTCAAAGAGTGAGCTATTAAGATTTATCCACATTTGAAAACTTGTACCGTTGACTTAAGATTTGGTTGGTTGTCATCTATAACTGTGTTGCTGGCGTATTTGTTTTGGCTGTTTTTCTCTTTTGGCTTTGCGGTTGTTAGTCCTTTCACTTATTGCCTGATAGATTTAATCTATTTCAATTTGTCTGTTGATTGAAGCTTAGTTAGAGTAGCTTGTGCAATGGGGTGAATTTTTATTGGTTCTTTAAATCAGTCAATCAATTGAATCACTAAGTGGGCAAAGCGATGGCGTTGGTATTTAGTCGATGGTACTGGGTTCAAGTCCCAGGGTAGACATCAGTTAAATAATAAGATATACTCTCAATCATATCGATACGAGTGTATAATTCTGGACATGATCTCGACTAGAGAAACGTTAAAATATTAAAAAGAAGACACAAAGCCAGAGAAATCTAATACACTAATCCGGCACCAATCAAAAGACAAATTGAAATAGATTAAATCTATCAGGCAATAAGTGAAAGGACTAACAACCGCAAAGCCAAAAGAGAAAAACAGCCAAAACAAATACGCCAGCAACACAGTTATAGATGACAACCAACCAAATCTTAAGTCAACGGTACAAGTTTTCAAATGTGGATAAATCTTAATAGCTCACTCTTTGAACAACGTACCGATGACATTGTTCAGAAGAACAATGAAAACTTCACAACTAAATTATCTAGCTCTGAGACTACAATACCAACTCATTTATATGTAAGACAATCATAGTCTTAGTAAATGAATTTTTGCCGGATAATGGAGTTCAAAGTTATAGCTTGTGTAGCACTTAATCATATTTTAACTTATATGTAAAGTCAATATAAAGTTTAATTGATCGTCTAATCCGAATCACTCGTTTCTATGTTTGGTCACAGGTTAGCCTATTTATTTTGGCTAGATGAATCAATAATTATTAGAGTAAGTCAGATTAATAATCGCTCATTTAGTTTCATTTCTTTGTACTTATTATCAAGTTTATCTACTAAGTACACCGACATATCTTCGATGATCATAAAATCTTCTATAATATATCCTGTTATTTTATAGATGAGTCTTATGTTCACTACCTCATATTTTTTATACCAAATGGATTAGAGTATACGGAACTAAATATTTCCTTCAAATTTAAAAGTAAATTGTCTAAGATATTGGTTTTGAATTATTATAAACAAGGTTTTACTTAAAACCAGATACTCTAATGCATCATTTCAAGATACATCATTTATCAACACTATTGCGAAGGAAAGTCAGCGGAAGTAATACAAACCAAGAAAACCTAAGACATTTTAATGACACTACGTTCACTTTCTTTATTTACATGACTGCAATTAGTTTTGGACATTACTAATACATTCTGGAAATCCGTGCACTAACCAGATCAATGGCCACTAATTAAGGGTCCTATTGGTTTTTCTCAAAGCTCTATCATGCTCCAGTCACTGTTTTAATTCAGTACAATAACTAGCATGTTTCTCATATGCTTCTAGTCAATCGTTTTCACAATATATGCAATCTTGACTGTCCAATCATTTGCTTGATGCTTCTAGTTTGACTTTGTCCCAAGAATTTTTGACATAATATTGATATGGTATTTTATATTGCCTTGTATCATCATCTTTTTTTGGTAAAAATTTTTATTCAGAAACCCTTAAACAACGTGATTTACAAATCTTAGAACTTACGATGAAAATAGAACAACTTGAATGTTTACCGAAAAGTACTAGTCGCTGTGATCCTGTCAGTCATGCCGGGTATATTGCAACAACAGCAGCATTGACAGAGCCATCAAGTGATTCGGTTGATGATCCTACAAAATTTTGTTTAGGTGAAAAACAGTTTGCATCTAATAAACAACAGGATGTAAGTCAAACGGATTTCTTCCATACCTTTATTCATACGAACAAAAACCACTTGATGCATATTATTTTATTGCTTATGTTTTCTACCAATTAGGTATTTTTATTTCAGAGCTTTATCTGTTTTTGAGTCACCACGTGCCCAAACTCTGTGATTAGTCATCAGTTTATGGTGTATGTCTAAGATTTGGGACATATTGTGCAACAGTGAAAATTGATAAGTCTTGCTAAATAAATGCTCGATCCGGTTTACTAGCCGCTTCTAATAACTCCAGGCTAAATCTACACGACAGCTTGAGTATATGAGAAAAGGTACGACGGCCGATGATAAGGATTTCTTTCACTCACAAAATTAATCAACGTGATTTGGAAATAAACTACATTGGTGGGACTATAATTTATGGCCGACCTTAGAGCGACGCTAAAGTGGCCTTGAGAGCGAACACCTACTGATAAAGAAAAAATGAGGGTTATGAAGCAGTTGGAATTCTCATTTACACTTGATGGTTGGGGTTAAAAACTAGATTTACGGTTTTCATCACGAACTGACATCAGCTATAATGCCAAAATTTGTGACTCGTTATCTTATATCTGATTGGTTCGTCCATAAATTATAGTCTCGCCACTACATTTTATCTGGTTTATTTGCAGTTAGATTAACAGACATATTTGTATAAAATAAACTGCGTTGTATATAACGATAATAATTCATATATGTCATATCATATTATGCAATTAAGTATCTGTAATGCTGCTTAAAATGTTAAATCCATATAACACACGATTGGAAAAAAACCCAGTTTCATATATCATTCCCACTCCAGTTGATTGATCTATTACTCGCCATATCAGAAATATTCCAAGATAGTTTCTGAATTCAAATTTATTTTAATCGCATAATGGACCCATGCGTTTTTTACAAATGCTAATATTTTACAAATACTGGACTAGTCAACATATCCCAGTCCTATTCTGTTATGATCAGGTAAAGCTTGATTTATACCCTCAAGATTACTGTTCGTACAACCTTTGGGATTAGTCGCAACATTATATTTGTTATCCATCAAAAATAGTTGTTACTGACATCCTAGTTCAGAAATGTGTGCATATTTAATTACATTTCATATTTACACATTGGGGTTTACAATTTAAAACTACTCAGCTTCCCCCTGTGTATTTTTGTGGTAACATCCTTCAGAAAAATTACATTATCCTCTTACTATATATGTCATTTATTAATTGTCGAGATCACCTCAGCTAGTATCAGAGACTCACTAAAAGAGATGACTATAGGTATGATCTAAATTTGAGTCCTTAAGTATTTTCTTTGGTTACAACACGCATAATAATTTATGTCCGTAGTAAAATTAATCAACAGCATTTTTCTGTATTTTTGAACACTGAATTCAGGTTTTATAGTATTCTTATGCTAAAAGAGTTATTTATTTGAAGATAATAAACTAGTAATTAATTTTCTATATTGTGATCATATTATTGATGAGAGAAATACTTCCATAAAATTGATTCTTATTATTTCTAGATGTCATCTCTGTTGCCAACATGCAATATAGATCAATTGTTTACTAATACCTCGACAAATACACGCGGTAACATACTTATCCACTCTGCTTCAGTAAATCATGATAATAGTGGTAGTAATAATACTTTTATACAGACTTCTAGATTTTGTACACCAGCCATCTCATCCATAACTTCATTCACAGACTTTGCAAGTTACCCTGAAATTTATGTTCATGCAACTTATAATTATAAAGACAAACAGAATCTAATCTTCACAAAACCTGTTACTACTACTTTCCACACCAACTTATCTTCATCTTGTTTTTTAACTCCTCGAATATGTTCCTCCTCCTCGTCATCATCGTCATCTTCAAATATGAGCTGTGCGGTGCATGCAGACGTACAGACACTTAATAATTATAAAGAATCATCTGTTATTACATCAGTCAATAGTGGCTGCCCAATTGTACATCAACAGCATCACCGAAAATAGCAGCAATAACTATCTGCTGACATAAAGTAATTTATTGCATTCATTGTCGTTACAATTATACACGAATTTATGAGTGTTTTTCCTAACTTTAAGTAAAGATACATGTACCTGTGAGATATATATTACTTTTTTCATGAAAACAGCATTGTATTAAAAGAGAAAGGTTTCATTATTGCTTTCTTTTTTATTGGTTATTCTTCTGATATCTGTTAAACAGTTAGTAAATTCCCCTAAAGTTGGCCAATATCTCAAGTTGTTCGCGTTATATGCTTCATGTGTATATACATGTATGGGGCAGTTACCCACCAAATTCATATGCATATGTTTAACTTTGTTCAATACAAGTATTGATTTCACCCATATTCACAATGTTAATGCATCACATCAATATCTATAACCACCAATCAGATTTTATCATTATGCCTAACCTGTATATCACAACAGTAGCCTAAATGTTGATAAGCCAAGAAAAATGACCTTTTAAATAATAATAACTGTATTCCTAACTAAGTTTCCAATTAACTCCCTTCAGCATCATCCTCTCATGGGCGTATACGGCTCTACCCAACAGAGAAAACAAAAACAGGGAAATGACTAAGCAACGGATTAGATCAGTTACGTGGACAACAGAATAGGTCTGAAGTAATAAACCGGAAAAACGATTTCACTACTGGACCACTAAGCTCGTTCGTCGACATTTGTATTGTAGCACCAATTATTGCCGATAATCATTTACGTTAGTGACTTAAGCAACAAAAGTATCTCAGGTGTCCTGACGGTCCGAACGCCGCTAATCTTGATCACACCTTTGTACCTTTTTAGAATTTCCCTTACTGATAATATCAAAGACTAAAGAGTCCTTCAGTGATAATTTTTCCATTATTCATTCCCCAGTTCTCATTAGACCTGTCAGTGTCAGAGTTGTTGTGAGTTCACATTAAGTAAGTTCTTGAGTTTGATTACCTTTCCAAACTTTATGATAATTACATTGATTTATGGTAACTTTTATTTTCCTAACTTGACTGTGCTCATTAGAATACGGCTTTCGATCAAACGTTAATGGAAGTTTACAGTATTTTGCATTTCCCCTAGTTGTTGGTGTTCGTAGTTTTGCAACGGCTGTCTATTTTTATAGCTTTTATCTACCATCTTAATTGGATGTTTTCCTGAACTCCATCCAAATACTAAGAATTTTGCGTAAATATATCGGTTTGATTCAGAATCTTGAGTCTTCTAAGTTAAGTAGTGTATGTTTGAGACGAATATGATTTTTGTGTTGCTTTGCCATGCGATTCCGAGTTACGTCGATCTGTAACAGCTTCAACTTTCGAAATGGTATATGATCACTATCAGTGTTGAATAACGAATGCAACAAAACTTAAACTAAAATTAAACAATCATTCTCGCTAAATGTGGGCCTAGATATATCACACTAATTCCATGCGTTTTCGTGTATTACATTTGCCCACAGTTTTCTGAATTATCATCTTGCCTGCATACAGATTTTCTAGTGACAATGTGTCCCGATACTTTCGGTTTTTTGTGAGGCAGTTTTACCTTCTTGAAATCAACAATTGTTGGCATACTATTGGAACGCTTTTGATAAGCCTTCTCAGCCTAAATATCTATTTAGTAAGCAATGTTATGTTTTTGTTTAGAGCTGTCTCTTTCGATTTGATAACTTTATTTTGATACTAAGCAATTGTAAACATCGGTCAAATTACTAATTCCTTCCTATCAATATCATCTCAACATCCTGCTTAAAGAGTTCCAATAATGTCACCTTCCAATTCTGTTGAACCAAAAACCTTCAACATTTGATATACGTTCGTGTGAAGACAGTTAATCAACTAAAGTTTAGCCTGCATAAACATAGTACCTAGTTAACTTATTAAGAAGAGAGTTTGCATAATATTATTATACGAATGTACAAGTGATTACGGGGTCAGTGTTATTCTATGAATGATAGAAAAGTATGGACTGTACGCTCTAGCTGACAGACTGTGATGGTAAACTGACTCCAAAAACAAGAAGCTTAATAAGCCTTCGATGTTTACTCTTTTCATATTAGTTTCACCGGACACATTTAACTAAAGGCGGTAGGCCAAGAATCCTCTCTAAATCACTTTTGGATACACTGTGCAGCATATCTCCTATGATATCTAGTCAGCTCATAATCCATACACTGCGATACATCGACCTGTTTTTCAAGCAAACTTTCATGTTCAATCATTATAGATTCCTGGTTCCATTAACTTAGGAATAATATTGGACCTATCCTCAAACTTTTAGCTACTGTACATTTTTTTGTTTACCATAAGATTGAGTGAGAAGTTTCTGGACATTAGATATGCTCTCAAAATGAAAATAATTTTCAATTTTATCGTGAGTTGATTTAGTCCTTGTAAATCCAGAGTATGTTTTGTCAACCATGGCTTAAATTGTTGCTGCCTAGCATTCTTGATTTGTTTCGTTGTACTCTATGTTGTTTCAGGGATCTGCGACGACTTTGAGTATACTTTTGCCGTCTTCTGGTAATAAGCAAGGTTTTGTGCAGTTTTTACCACATAGATGTCACATTTTCGAGAGAATCACTACATATCGACAAACTTCAAGGCTTAAACCTCATTGTCTGTGTACATTTTGACGTTAGAGTAAAGCATTTCTGAATAAAGAGGCTGTAGATTTTTCTTTATGGAATACGAGGATTAACAGTAATGAGCACTTGTGCAGATTGGAGGTAAAGTTGACTTTCCATGTACTTTGTCTAAAGAACGTCACACAACTTCCTTAGAGCGGTGAAAAACTGGCTTTCAGTCCTTGCCTACACTTGTATTATCCGAGTTTCCTAACGACTTGTTCACGATTGTTTTTGCTGTTGAAACAAATTTTGTAGCCATTAAGATTCTGTCAAATCCTCACAAACCTGTCAGGTTGTATGCATAGTTCATACTTCACATCCTAAGGTATCTCAACCTATTTCCAGTGTTTGATTGCGCCTTACTTGGTGATTTATTGCTGGTTACTGTATTCTGAACCCCAACTTTGGTATTAGTATGTCCGCTGTTTTCCTTCTATTGCCGACTAGTCATCTGAAATGATATCCTCAGAGTTCGAAAACTGGAGTCAAATAGCTCGAGTGTGGATAGTGTTGGCAAATTTCGTTAAGCAATTCAGTAATCCTTACGCAATCTTTCTTGTAATAACCGGTCATGTTCAGGCGACACAATGAAAGGCTATATTCGCTAGTGCTTGATATTTTAACAAGTTAATTTCATCGAAGCATGTAAATGCTATTAAGGCTTGTTAATGAATCATCGTAGCTAATAACAAATACAGATAACCAGTTATTAATATTGGTTGAGTTAGTAATCCATATTTACTAATCAATATTACATTACGACAATACATGTGAGCCTCAATCAAAGGACTGATAGAACAATGAGTAAACATAAGTAAAAATCCATCGGCAAAGTTAGAGTGAAAATGAGAGTTAATAGAAGGCTGTGTTTCTTTAGTCGGTCTCACCGATGTAGACTCATGATCTAGTTCGTATTAAGTACTAATGGAATAATAGGCCTAATCCAAATATCGTAGATTTGTCGTGATTTAAAAACCTAAAATATAAGATCTAACATGGAAGTAACATCACTATTTATTCTGACTCGTCGTATCGTAACAATCAGCATTATGTTTGAAGTTTCTAATGAACACATTTAGACTGTAGATAGAACAATACATTCATTGTGAATTGACAAGGTTAGTCAACTATACTTCATGTAGGTGCTGAAGACATTGTTTAGAATGACAATGGATGCTCTGCAACTAAGTCATTTGAGTCGGAAAACTCAGATTCACTAATAGCGTTCATCTGAGCTACAAATTTTATTCATTATTTCAATGTTGATACTTTCTTGGAATTCTTCCCAAAACAGTGTTTTTGAATCGAATGAAAGATTCAGTACAGGTTCAACTTCTAGACAAACATGCTGGATTTTGTAAGGATCGGCTATGCACCGATCAAATGGCGACACAATTAATCGAATGAAACTCATCACTACGCACCAACTTACTTGAATATGGAAAAGCATTCGACAGAGTGGATAGGAGGACCTCATGGGACGTTCCTCGATACTATGATCTATCTGAGAAGATTGCCATAATCGTACGGAATTCTTACAACAGACTACACTGCAACTTTATGCATTAAGGGCAGTTCAAAAATGTATTCCAAGTGAAGACCAATGACAGACGAAGCTGCTCACTCTCCTCCTTTCTCTTTCTTCTGGTGGTTAAGTTGATCATGAAGACCTCCGTATCTGAGGGGAGGCACAGAATACAGTGGATAGCTTGGATGCAGATAGACTATTTGGACTTCACAGATGACCTAGCTTCTCTATCCCATTTACAGCAACAAATACAGGTGAAGACAGCCAAAGTAGTGTCAGTCTCCACAGCAACAGGCCTCAACATTCACATGAGAAAAAGCAATATCCTAAAATACAAAGCGAAGACCAACCAAGTTTAACTTCATAGGGAAGCTCTGGAAGTGGAAACTTTTACGAACCTCAGCAGTATCACTGATAAGCAAGTGGGATGTGATGCAGGCGTTGAGGAACGGATTGGCAAAGCAAGACCAACATTCATAAGATTGAAGGACATCTGGAACTCAAAAAACTGTCAGAATTTTCAATACGAAAATCAAGACAGTACTATTGTACGGAGCTGAAATTTTGAGAACTACTATAACCATCATCAAAAAGGTACATATATTTATAAACAGTTGTCTACGCAAGATACTCTAGATGCGTTGATCAAACACCATCAGTAATAACCTACTCTATCACAGAACCCATCAGCAACCAGTTGAAGAAGAAATTAAGAAAAGACATTGGGGGTGTATGGGCCAAACTTTATGGAAACG